CACCGCCTCTGGGCCGTGCTCACCGTCCAGGCCTACGCCCGGGGCATGATCGCCCGCCGGCTCTACAGGCGCCTCCGCGGGGAGGTAAGTCCCGGGGAGGAGAGAGAGGGGGGTCCCGGGGGATCGAGGCGGGGACCGGGCAAAGAGGCGTGCTCCTGCCGCGCGCGCCCGCGGGATCGGTTCTCCGAGAGAGGAGGAGGGTTGCAAAATGGAATAGGTGCCTGCTCAGGAGGCTCTTGGTGTTTGTTCCCCCAGTATCATCGACGCCTGGAAGCGGAGAAACTCCGGCTGGCCGAAGAGGAGCGGCTCCGAAAGGAGATGAGTGCCAAGAAAGCCAAAGAGGAAGCAGAAAAGAAGCACCAAGTACGCAGAGACTCATCTCTTCTCAGGGCTCTGTCTCTCTTTTCCGTGGACTGGTTCTGCTCTTTTGAGGGGGAATGCCAAAAATATTTGAAAAAAAATATTTGATTTGGGGGAATCCCAAATCGAAGGGATTTCTGCCCTGCTTGAGCAGTTTGTGTTTAATGCGCTGAAGAACTCTGGGTTCTAACTAGTTTGAAGCTGCTCTGGAATTTCTGATCTGCTGAGATTAGTGTTATTATTCACTCACTTTTGCTCTCATATAAAGGCTCAAGGAGGATCTGGGACACTGTGTGTGTGCACATATGTGGTTGTTGTATAAAAGGAAAAAAATGAGGTCAGTGAGATCTTTGAGTGTGGACTCACCTCCTGAAAGAGGCACTAAGGAAGGAGAAAATGCTCTTCCTTTGCCCTTCTGCAGATAGGAAGCTAAAAAAATAAACATGTCACTGATTTACTCCAAATCACATGGCTGGTGTAGTGCCTTGAACATGGGCAGTCTGTCTTTCTAAATCCAGCCCTTGCAGAACTGGGTGGCAGCTCTTTGGAGGGAGCAGCTCAGTCATTGTCCTCATCCTCTTCCAGGTACGCCTGGCCCAGCTGGCACGGGAAGATGCAGAGAGAGAAGTAAAGGAGAAGGAAGAGGCACGGCGGAAGAAAGAGCTCTTGGAAAAAATGGAGAAGGCTCGCAATGAGCCAGTGAATGACTCAGAAATGGTGGACAAAATGTTCGGGTTCCTGGGGACAACCTCCTCCCTGCCTGGCCAGGAAGGACAGGCGCCCAATGGCTTTGAGGTACTGGAGACGTACATGAGCCTGGCTATCACATAAAAGGCTTTAGCAGCACATTAATGAATCAGAGAGTACAGCAGTACAGAAGTGGGTCTCTGAAGGCTTCCTTCAAGACCAGGCTCTTCTGTGTGTCCCCAGGGCATTGGCATTCTGTGGCTGGAGGCAGCCCAGCAGTCTGCAGGTGTCCTCTGGGGATACTGCATGGAGAGGAGCAGTATCACTATAAGACCACTGAGAACCCGTGGTCTTTGCAGTCTTTTCCTTCATTGTTCATCACAGCTTGTGACATTTAGCTCTTGGCTACCCTTTCCCCAATGCTAGGAGCAGAGCCGTGCTTGTTGCTTCTCCTGCTGCTCTGGCAGCATTCCTGGGCACAGGCATGTCCTTCAGGACTTGAGCTTTGCATGGTTCCAGAGTTATATTTTGTGGTTTTCCCTCCAGCTGGCTTTTCCTTTGGGGTGGAAATCAGACAAACAGAAAAGTCAGGCCCAAGGGGAAAGGGTAGTTCAGTACCCAAAGCCATGCTGAGTGCCTGTCATCCTTCCCCACCAGGATCTTGAGCGAGCCCAGAAGGAGCTGGAGGAAGAGGACCTGGATGCAGCATTGCCTCTCCCTGAGGAAGAGGAGGAGGATCTCTCAGAGTACAAATTTGCCAAGTTTGCCGCCACGTATTTCCAGGGCACGACGACACACACCTACATCCGCCGGCCTCTGAAGCAGCCTCTCTTGTACCATGAAGATGAAGGAGACCAGCTGGTGAGCCAGGGGATGAAAACACTCAAGCAGGGCAGGGGGGGTTGGCGCAAGCCTGGGGATCCCTTCAGGGCTGCCCAGGGAGGTGGTGGAGTCATCATCCCTGGAGGTTTCAAAAAATGAGTAGATGTAGCACTTGAGGCTATGGTGCAGTGGTAAGGGGAATGTTGGGATGGTGGTTGGACTTGCTCATCCTGGAGGTCCTTTCCAACCATAGTGACTCTCTGATTCTAAGTGTCTTATCTCCTGCAGATGCACAGAGAGACCACAGGGTAGATCCTGATGGACTCAGTGGACTTGGCCACCCCCTCCACTGCCTGGTGTGAGCTAATGGAGTTAATCTCTCCTTTCAAATAGGCAGCACTTGCTGTATGGATCACTGTCCTCCGTTTCATGGGAGATCTCCCTGAGCCAAAATATCATACAGCCATGAGTGATGGTGGTGAGAAGATACCAGTGATGACAAAAATCTATGAGACTCTTGGGAAAAAGACCTATAAGAAAGAACTGCAGGCTCTGCAGGGAGAAGGAGAGGTAACTGCTTGGGCTGTAAAAGGGATGCTGTTGTGAGGTGTTGGATCTTTAAATGTTTTGGAAAAAAAGGACTTGTGGGGTTTGCTGCAGGCCATCAGATTGTCAACTTCATTTGCAGTTATGCTACAAAGGGAGAATTGCCCATGTGTCGTGTGTTGATCCTGTCCCTTCTTCTTCACAGCAGTAACTGAATGTCCCCCAGCTGGAAGGTGCCCTAATGTCTCTTGTGGGCCTTTGATCTTTCTCCTCTTTTTAGGACAGAAGTACATGGGGAGACTGTGATGTCCTGTGTCATCAGTCTCTCATCTGGGGATTTCTTTTTGATTCACCCTGGGTCAGAAGAGACTAAATTAAAAATGTGTCCTTAATCTTGGAGCAGAAAGAGTTACGTGGGGATTAAGCTGTGGAAATCAAAAAAAAAAAAAAAAAAAAACAACCCTGTTGCATCCTCTGTGCACTCTGAGATGTCACTGGAGGACTTCATCTTAGGACCCCTCCCAGATAAGACATTGCTCAGGATAGCAATGACATGCTTTCATCCTTGGCAAATGCTTCTTTCAACAGGACAAGATAATATCTGGTACTTGGATTTTCTAGGTGGCACCATTATGTTTTCAAGAAGTTTTCTGTAGTAGCATCTGGACAACCTGTGTCACAAACCTGTGACATTTGCAGATGTAAATGAACAAATTTCCTAGTTTTTAGAGACAATGATAGCATTCAGTGCTTTCAGTGAATTACCCTGAAGGAGCATAGCCTCATCTGGATTGTAATTCTGTAAAAACATACACCAAGAATCACCTGTCATTCCTTCTACCTATCGTTTCTTGCTTGTTTATTACAAAAAGGCTTGTTGTGGCCAACTGAGACATGGGGTAGTACAGAAGAGAAGGGAAATTTAAGCTTTCATTTTTGTCTGTGGTTACGTCTGCTCTGCAGAGTGCACAACAGTGCAGAGAGACATCTGAGCTGCCCCTAAGTGTGATGCTATGCAAGTGCAGGTTTATGGTATCAACTTGGCTTTATAATGGATATAAAACATCACAGCTGCAATACTCAAAATGTTGATCTGATGTCAAATCACCTGACCAGAGAGGTTGTGGTGTCTCCTTCTCTGGAGACTTTCAAAAACCACCTGGATGCAATCCTGGGCAACCTGCTTTAGGTGACCCTGCTGGAGCAGGGGGGTTGGAGAGATGATCTCCAGAGGTCCCTTCCAACCCCTGCCATGCTGGGATTCTGTGAAAATCACAGTCTTTTCAAAGTTGTTTAAATGGTTAACTGGGTCCAAAAGCAAAGTCCAGAAGCTGGCTAACAGTGATGAAACCACACTGGGTAACTACCTGTCCATGCATCCCTGGCTAGATGAGTTTCAGCTCTCAAACCTTCTGCACAAATGGCTCACCTCAGAGTACTGTAGCTCATCTCATTAGTGGTGTAGGAAGAGACCTGAATGGCATACAGTAGAACTGGGTGGACCTGGCTTGCCTTGTAGACAACCATTTATTCAGCGTAACTTTTATCGGACATCTCCAATATGCAGTTCTGACCTGCGGGAGGCTCATGGCTCAGGGAGCATCTACAAAATTCAGAGCCAGTCCTGGTTTATTGGGGGGGCACAGGAATATTGTTCCTACCAACCCCTGAAAGATCTCACTCTCTGCCCAGGATTAACTGTCTTTTGCAGGAGGTCGAGGGAGGCAGGGAGAAATGTCCTGGGCAGGGCTTTGTGTCTCACCACGTTGCATCCACGCCTCTTGCTTTTCAGAGTACTCCCCTCGACGGGCACAAGAAGAACAGTGTGCGGCACAAGCTGGTCTCCTTGACCCTCAAGAAGAAATCCAAGCTGACGGAGGAGGTGAGGGGAGACGCTTGGCCGCCTGGCAGCACAAGTGCCCTTGGATTGTCCGCAGCCCTCTCTGACTCTCTTCTGCTTTTCCCTAGACAACATAGAACCAGCCCTCCTCTGGGTTTGGCGCTACCTGTCTCTCTGCCTGAAAGATTTAAGGAGTGTTTAAGGGGAAAGGTTGGCTTCCCGTGTCTCCTTGAGTCATTCCGCGCCTCGCGCCGGCCTCTCCTCGGCTCCCGCTCTCCATCCAGCCAGCACCTTCCCTCCCCTCTCTCTCAGCCCTCCGTCCAGCTGCCGATACCTCTCACCGCTCGGTGATGGTCTGAATATTGTCCCTGCTTGTAGCTTCCTGCCCTCCACCCTGCTGTGGGGAGCAGAGGTGGGGTCTCCAACCACACTCACCCATCCTCTGCTCCCCTCCAGTGCCAGAGGCAAAACTCTCCACGGGAGCAGTTAGCCTAAGCTAAGGCCTTTTGAAAATCCATCTCAAAAGAGTGAGAAGCAATAATTTAATTTTTTTTTGTGAGGGTTGGGGGATGAAAGCATTGCAAAGATGTGGATTTGGTCCTCTTTCACACTGCCATGTCCACTTCCAGAGCAGGCACCTTCTCATCTAGCTATAGCTGCTTGAGAGCATGAAGATTGCTCTCTGAGATAGTCACCTTCCTTCCCTTTAGGGTCGTTGGGGAGAAACAGGACCCAACCCAGCTTCCCCTACTGTGGCTCTGAATGCATTCTAGAAACAGCTGTCTTCCTCCAGTGGCTCTAAACGGAGACTGGGTTGACTAGCTGAGACAGAGAGCCGGCAGGCAGACAAATGCCATCCCAGTTCTCACAGAGAGCACCAGGCTCATGTGCTTGGGGCTGCATCATTAGCATGGGGAGCAGGTCCATTTTGTCAGCATCTTAATGAGTTTTTTTCATATGACTGAGTTAAAGGTTATTCAAAAGGTCCTTGGTGGCCCTCTCCCATCTGTAGGGTTATCTCAGATGGAAGGGTGCCATTGTGGAAACCCTGGGCAAAGACCAAGCAGGTGGGAGCATGGCTAGACAGGACCACTTTCAGCTTCACCTGTATGTGATTAAAGCCAAGAAAGTCACACCCTCCCATCACTGATAAAGCTCCAGACTGAAGAACTTCTGAGACTCCTCCTGGCTGGTGGAGGAGTCCTCCTGGGAAAGCACCACACATTTGGGGTGGGACTGGGGGGACATAGTAACTAGCTGTACTGAAAAAGAGCAATGTGTCTGGTTGGCAGGTGACCAAGAGACTTCATGATGGTGAGTCCACACTCCAGGGTAACAGCATGCTTGAAGACCGACCCACCTCCAACCTGGAGAAACTCCATTTCATTATTGGTAATGGCATCCTCAGGCCAGCCTTAAGGTTAGAAAGCAAAACAAAGGCATAAACATACCATTCTTGTCGTTCTTTCTTCCTTGAGCTACTCTTGCCCAAATTATTTCACTGTTTTGTGCAGCTTTACAAAGCTTTCCTGTAATTTTTTCTGGTTGCATTGTATAACATGGGCTGGGTCATGTTTGATCTTAAAGGTCTTTTCCAACCTACATGATTCTATGAATCTGTGTTCCTTCCTGTCTGTATCAGGCCTAGTGGAAAGACCAAGCAGAGGCACTCAAACGCTTCTGAAAGTGCTGGTAGCTACTGGATTCTTTTTTTAATAGTCACTCTATTTTTTCGCTACCCTTTGTTTTCTGTTTAGCTATTTAGATCCCTTTTGTTTGTGTGAAAGTATTTAATGGCATGCTAATGAAAAATGCAAACTCATTTCAGTTGCTAAATTAAGCATTTAAAAAATGGAAAGTGCCTAACTAAGGCAAATGGTACATCTTTGGTTTAGTCCATTTATGCATATTTGTGTTTATGACATGTATGTCCCTCTTCTTGTAGCATCATGCTCTTTTCACTCACACTCCAGGAACAGAGTGAGCATCCTCCTTTGATGACCAGCTTCTCTAATTTTTCATTTGTTTTCCCAGTTCCCCATGAAACCCTTAGCCTTCCTTTTCTGCACAAAGTCTGCTCTGAAAGCAGACCTGGTAGAATCCCGTGGGCTGTCCCACAGGGTTTGTCAGTGTAGCAGGTTGGTTAACACTGTTGTTGCCTCCCATGTAGATAAGACCATACTGTTATCCCTTGTTTTGCACATAGAGAACTAAGGTTAGTTAGAAGTGGACATTAAATCCCAAATTGAGATACCTGCCAATGTACCTGTTTGGTTGTAGGAGCTGAACAAACTTTGACCTCCACTGGAGCTGATAGTTCCCAGCAGAGCAAAGTCAGGGGTCTCAAGAGGAATAGCCAGCAAATTAATATTCCCAGCTGATGACCCTCTATGAAAATTAGTTTAGGAGACCCTCTTGGTATTACTGGAAAGTGTTTGTAAGAAGCCAGAATAGACTCCATCATCCAGAGCTGACATTGAGTCCCCTTGAACCTTGAGACTCCCTTTTATTTCCCTCCTTCTATAAGCAGTGTCAGTCAGCTGTGGGATATCTCAGCTGAAGCACAGGGGAGACTCTGGACATTACAGCACTGGTGGTGGATGGCATTTTAGAGACATTGCAATGGCCAGGGTGACCATCATTAGGGCAGTTAAATTAATAGTCTTCTGATTCTAGGATGAACTTTTACCTATCACTCACATGCAGATGGGGACTGTCTCTATCTCTGTTAATTTGGAAAAACACAACCTCGTTAACTCTAAAGGTTATTTTTCATTCCTGTTGCAGGGATGAAATCTATTGTCAAATCTGCAAGCAGCTGACCCAGAACCCCTCCAAAAGCAGCCACGCCAGGGGCTGGATCCTAATGTCCCTCTGCGTGGGATGTTTTGCTCCTTCTGAGAAGTTTGTGAAGGTAAATTGTAGATTACATTTGGTTCATGAATTATCTGCCAATCCATTTTCCTTTCCATCCACGAGACTAGCTTTTCTCTTGGGTTTTGCAGTAGAGGGAGTCCTGCTCTTTGTCTTTGTGAGGAATGAAAATGATATAAAGTTCCTAAGAGAAGTGTGTGTGATGCCAAGTTCAGCGTTGAAAGTGCATCAGATGAATCACTCCTGGGAAGTGAATCGCTCTTTCCTGTGACTCTCAAGGGAGACAGCCAGTTCAGAGGATGCCTCCTGTACTGTGGATGTGTGAAGATGTGATTACGTGTCTTCTAGCAAGAAAGTTGATTGTGGGAGGCTGCAGGTGGAGTTTGCACACCCAGAATAGCCCACACTTCTCCCCTCTCTCTCACATGCAAAGGTCTATCCATTCATTCAAGCCTCTACTGGCTTTGGCAGGAAGACCTCAGGCATGTACTCTAATAGAATTTACTGCACAGCTAATTATAAATGTAACTTAATATTTAAAAAAAATTGCAAGTAGAGAGGGAACGGCTTAATTTCCCTGCAAGTATATTTGTGTCGTTGCTCTCTGCATGCTGCAGCATGCCCCACCATTTGTAATACTGAGAACATCCAACTCTGAACAATCACATGGGAGGTGATGTGTAATGTTTCTTCAGAAGCTCTGTGGATCTGCAGGACTGAAGTCAGTGGGAGATGCTAAGCAGCTGGCACTTTTGAAAATCGGGTTGTTCATAAAGATATTCTTTTTTTCTGGGCAGTTTTGTTACCCAGATTTGAAATGTCTGCCTTCAAATGAGTTACGCATCTACAGTCTAACTAATACCCACTGGACTGCTCAAGTTAATCCCATGCTTAAGAGTTAGGCTGGCTCAGGGCAAAGGGCTCAGCACTGTGTCTTTGTATTGACATAATATAAGACCTCCTTTGCCCCTATCAGGTCTTTGAATGTTGGAGCCCAGACCCGCTCCCAAGCCTGCTGGAGATAAAGATGTTCCATTAATTTCGGTAGATACCAGATCAGGTACTTAGTCCTCAGCACTGAAAGAGCTGAAGCCAAGAATAAAAATCCCTCCTTCATCCCTAGGCCTTGCCAGTATGAAATTTAATGAAGCAGATAAATTACTGGCAAAGTAGCAGAAAATTAAATTATGTCTGGAAATGAGATCTGAGGAAGTATGCCACAGGAGGTTGCGTGGATTTAAGTCTTTAATAGCAGAAAATTATTTTAGGTGAGTGAAGCACTTCTCAGAAATAATTTATGGGTAGCTCTGGAAACTCAGAGTTTTGTGTTGGAAGAGACCTTTAACTGTCATCCAGTCCAACCCCCCTGCAGTGAGCAGGGACATCTGCAACTAGAGCAGGTTGCTCAGAGCCCCGGCCAACCTCCCCTGGAATGGTTCCAGGGATGGGGCAGTGACCACCTCTTGGGGAAACCTGTTCCGTGTTTCACATGTACCTCTGCCTAAAGTTATGGTCCATGCTGAAACACCTGCCAATATTCCCAACAGCTGTGGGAAGGGTTTATACTAACTCTGCCCTTATTCATCACCCTTTTGTACCTCCAGCTGTTGGAGATGACAGCTGTGGTGGCTGAAGCTCCTTGAGTGCAAACACCACTTGCAGCAGCACACATTGTGGTTCCCTTTCAAGGTCCCAAGTCTTGCAAACAGCAGGAACTAGGCAGTGGCTTGGGCAATGCCTCAGAGCTCCTCTGAAGCCACTGTTGTTATCTGTGAGGACATCACAGACTCTTTCCAGCTTAAATGTTTTGAGATAAAGCATTCTCAAGATGAAATGTTAATTCTGCCCCAGAACCACTTATATTCCCATTGTAACTCACTTCTTTGTTTTGTGAAAGGCAGAGAAATATTCGAAGTTTGTTGGAGTTCAGTGAACTCTCCTGTTTTGAAGCTGCATTAACCCAGGCCACCAAGTCCAGTCTGTAATAGGTTGAGAGGCAAACTCCATATCAGTACTCTCAGACTCTTAATCTATTAGTACCATGTTTTCAGGTGTTAGTAGTCAGCCTGAAATCTGATTTACTATGAATTCACTGACTGACTTTAACCATGCAATAGCTACCATTGAAGATAGGATAGCCACATGTGACCTATCAGCCAGTTAGCTGGATGACACTTTGTTAACCTCATGTCTTTTAGAATTGATGCAACTTCTCATTCAGCAGTCATCAGCCACCATTTTAGTAGAAGGAAAAGCATAAAATCATAGAATCATAGAACTGTTTAGGATGGAAAAGACCTTTAAGATCAAGTCCCACCATTAACCTAGCTCTACCAAGTCCACTGCTAAACCATGTCCCAGAGCACCATATCTACACGTCCAGGGATGGTAATTCAACCACTTCCCTGGGCAGCCTGTTCCAGTGCTAGACAACCCTTTCAGTGAAAAAAATTTTTCCTAATATGATATAAGCATATAAAGGTAAATATCTCTTAGCACTGGGGTCAAGACGCATTACCACACCTGTCCTACCTTTCTTTCAACTAGTAATGGACTTTGGTGGGAAGATTCAATCACAAGGAAGGAGAAATACAAAAAAAATACATAATTACATAGTTCATTATGTAGTTCATTACCCAGGGCATGTAGTGATAGGACAAGGGGTAATGGTTTTAAACTGAAAAAGTGTAGATCTAGATCAGATGTAAGGAAGTTCTTCACTATGAAGTTGGTGAGGAACTGGAACAAGTTACCCTGAGAAGCTGTGGTTGCTCCATGCCTGGAAGTGTTCAAGGTCAGTCTGGATGGTGCTTTGAGCAACCTGGTCTAGCTGGAGGTGTCTCTGCCCATGGCAGGAGTATTGGAACCAGATGACCTTTAAGGTCCCTTCCAACCTAAACCAGTCTTTCTATGACTATTAACAGTAGAATTCAAACTAGGGTTTTTTGCAGCATGACCTGCTAGCAATCATTTGCAACAGCTCCCATCCATCTAACCTGGCTGTATTTCCTCATTACTTCAGAGCATCTCTATAAGTGATGAATGACAGAGGTATCTGTCTCTCTAGACATGTTATTTATGTGCTGACAGTGTTGTAGAGCAGTCTCTGTTACTGAATGAACAGCTATGTCTTATTATTCAGAGAGCTCTTTGTCTAGGAAGTCTCTGAAAAAAATATGATTTTCAGAACTATTAGTCTTAACTATATTTTTGGCCAAGATATTTATGTAATATTTTTAAGTGTATTATCTTTAATATTGTGGAAGTCACTGTATTTAACTTTCTCAACAGAAACATCATTGTATTTTTAACATAAGGTGAAATGCTTCAAATTCTGGTTTAGGATCTTCTAAAATGTGACCAAAGAAATATGTGTTTAATGTCATTCTGAAAGATCTTTCATGCTGGCAGCAAAATGTTCTGAGTGGCATTTGCTTACAATTCCCCTGCATCATGACTTCTATGTCTTTTTCATTCCCTCCCATCTTCTTAGCCAACGCTCAATAATGTTTTATAATACATCTTCAAAATACAGAGCTAGAAGCAATAACAGGAACAGAAAAGCTGTTGCACTAGCTTCAAACAAAGCTCTGTCTAGGCTGGTATCTCATCTCCACTGGGGCCAGGAATGCACAGTTTAAGAGCAAGGCAAGGGTGCAGAGTACCCTACACACTCCTTCAGCTTCCAGCAATGTGATGTAGGAACATCCTCAGCCTGAGCAGCCTGAGCAGTATTGTTGCCATTAGTCCCAGAGGGCTTTTCTCCAATCAGATGTTGATTTTTGACCTTTGCAAATGCGTGGCCTCTAGAGCTGGTGGTCTAACCGAAGTGTTCCCTGCTGCCAACAGTATTTAAGGAACTTTATCAACGGAGGCCCCCCGGGTTATGCTCCCTATTGTGAAGAGAGGCTGAGGCGGACGTTTGCCAATGGGACAAGGACACAGCCACCCAGCTGGCTGGAGCTGCAGGTAGGAGCCCCTTCATCCCCTCCCCAGGCAGCTGGGGCTTGGATAGTGCCTTTCGCTATCATGGGAACCACGTCTCTACCGCAACAGAAAGTAGAATGAGAAAATGCCTGTTTATCTCAAAAGTGTTCAGGTATTTCCAAGATATTGCATTCCTTGTGCATCCTGGATTTCCTCCAGAGGATGTTGAAGATCAATCCCTTTGGCTACATCAGTACTTGTAAATTAAATGTGCTCAGGAGTGCTCTCAGGCACTGAGGCCAGCTGGCATGGAGCAAGCCTCCATGTATGCTAGGAAACTTGCTTCCAGATGGAGGTGGCTGCAGGCAAACTGCTGAGAATGGTCCCTGGGACCTGTTTGGGGATAGTCATAGCTGGAACAGGCATAGTTTGTGCAATAATTGCTCATTTTCTATGCTGGTTTCCTAGCATAGAGAGCTGTGCTTCAGTGCCCAGGAGCATTCCCAGGCATCTTTGCATTTACTGGATGAGGCACTGAATGTGTTAAATAAAAAATCTGGGACTTCCAAGTGCTTCCAGTGGCTGACTGTGCATTATCCTGTAGAGAAGCAGTATCTTAGGGCAGTATTGACAAGCAGTCAGTCAATGGGATCAGGGATTAGAAGATGATAGTTACCACAGTGGGGTGAAAGAGTGCGTAGGTGAAGTCTCAATGGGCTTAAAACACACATGTCTTTATAAAGGTTGTCTTTAATCCATTAGGCAACCAAGTCTAAGAAACCAATCATGCTGCCTGTGACATTTATGGATGGGACAACAAAAACCCTGCTGACCGACTCTGCGACAACTGCTAAAGAGCTCTGTAACTCTTTGGCTGACAAAATCAGCCTGAAGGACCGATTTGGCTTTTCACTTTACATTGCACTGTTTGACAAGGTATGTCTCAAATTATGTTCCTGGCTAGCTTTATGCAAGAAGCAGGAGGTTCTCCTTGCTGCCACAGATCTTCCAGAGGGCAGAAGACTGTGCTCTGAGAAATGGCCAGCCCTGAGGCCAGGAAGGAACATTCCTACACTGTAAGTGCCAGCATGATTTTCACCGTAAGAGTAGTTCAATGCTGAGGCAGAGTTGTCGACACACTGTGACATCTCCCTTCTTGGAGATACTCAGAATTTAACAGAAGGATTGGAGCAACTTGACCAAAGATGGATCTTCTATGACCAGTGGGCTAGGCTAGAAAGCTCCAGAAATGCCTTTCCACCTAAATTATTCTGTGACGCTGTGCTCTTACTCTCAGTCAAGCTAATCTGAGGTGAATTTACAAGAAAACAGCCTGGATTTTTATGCAAGGGAACAACTACATTTAATTGGAAAGCCAATGGTTGAAATTAAGCTTAAAGAATTAGCTAAAATCCAGACTGCCATACCTGTGTTGGCATTTACATCCATTTATTTAACCTTAAAATGTACCTTTTTCAGAAATTCTGTAAAAATAAAGGTGGGCATAAATAAGAAGGGAAAAACTTGGGTAAAATTTCATCAGATGAGACAACAGCTGCAGGCCAATGAAACAGAACTATTCCTATGGCTGCTGTGTAAGAGGATGAAGTATATTCCCACCTCCAGATGTTGGCATCTTTGGCTGTGGGTGGAGAAGAAAATGGTTTATACTCCATCCTCTTGGTCTTTTTTGAGGAGACACTCATCCAGAGATGTTCACTCTGAGGAGATACAGTGCTTGAGAGCTTCATGCCAGACCACAGCGAGAAGACAGAGGTGATAAAATTTCTGTTACAGGGCAGGCTTTTTATTCTGGGTTGGTTTGATGCTCAGCATGGTTGGATCCAAGCCCATGAGTTGTGCTTCAAAGCACAATATGAATAAATAATACTTTGTAATGGGACTGTTGGCTTTGCTAATTCACATTGATGATCTCCTTTAATTCTGGGTGGGAAACTGGGGCTCAAACCAAAATGGCTCACCCAGGTATGCTGTAGCCCTCTTCAGTCTTGGCTGGCTGGTAGAGATAGATACCTTGATTTATTTGGATTATAAAGGAAAGCTGGATGAGTGACTCCAAGAGAGGTACCTCTGCCTAGAAGGTTAACGTTTGGTAGGGTGAGTGCCACGTTTCCCTCTGCCCTGAGTAGGTCTCCTCGCTGGGGAGTGGCAATGACCACGTGATGGATGCTGTGTCCCAGTGTGAGCAGTATGCCAAAGAGCAAGGAGCGCAGGAGCGCAACGCGCCGTGGCGGCTCTTCTTCAGGAAGGAGATCTTCACTCCTTGGCACAACCCAAGCGAGGACAACGTGGCCACCAACCTCATTTACCAGCAGATCGTGCGAGGGGTGAAGTTTGGGGAGTACCGCTGTGACAAGGTACGTGACCTCAGCAGCTACCAGGCTGGTCCGACAAGGATTCCCAACAAGATGAAATAGGTTTCACCAAAGGGGATGAGAAATTCCTCCCTGAATTCCTCCAAAGTTCTTCCCTGAGCACCTGCTAGCTTGGGGGTTAGTGTATTCACCTGGGAAGAAGTAGCTACAGAAATCAAATCCTCTTAGCTGGGACAGACCAGACACTCTCACGTGCTGCATGAGCACTCTCTGCTGGTGAATTTTGGATAGGAGAGTGAATGGACACTTCATCCATCAGCCTCATTTTGGAGGGCCACAGGTAGTTTGTGACTAGATGAGCAGACCAGAAGTACATAGTAGGATCCTGTTTGGCGGATCCTATTAAGCCTTTAGACACGAGAGATGCTTTTCAGGAGATCCAGACCTCTGCCATGCAATACAAACCAAATAATGCTGCCGTATGCTGAAGGAACATTGGCAGCAGAAAGCCTATGCCTCTGGCATCTCTGGGAGCTTACAGAATTATACCAGTTGTCACTGAAATGAGCATCTCAGGAAACATCAGAATCTCTGAAAATATCCATCACTTTTTTTTCCCCTTGTGTTTAAAACCATTCAGGTATCAAATTGAAGATATCTCTCTCCCAACACCTAATTATTCTCCTGTGGTCCATGGAGTACAGTCACCTTAGGAACTAAATCATGTTTTCCCATCTATATTGCATTATCTGCAGCTCTTTTATGCTATCAGAAGTCCCAACCTTTCTTCCTCCCCTTCTCTTGCTCCCGGTCTCCTTGTGCTATTATCGTCATCTCAGTAGCTCTGTTGTTTTACCCCAAAGTGCTTGGACTGTAACTGCACCAAAGGACAATTTCCAGTTCTACACTATGCACAGGGGCTTCAGCTTCTGGGCTTCTCAAACATGAGAACTGGTGGATATGTGCAGTTCTCAATCATTAGACTCTGGCTACCATAGCAAAATGACCCACTGCTGACTGCAGGCATCGGAAGCAGACTGAACTGGAAGGAAAGACTGGGACAAAAATATTAATGCTCAGTACAGAGTTGCATGGTGCTGGTCACTGGACATGTTAAGGCTTAATCACAGCTTTTAGTGGTCAGTCTCCTGAACTTAAGATGTGCAAAAAGCACTGGTGAAGTTCTGCTTAAAGGAAGCATCCCCACACCACTCTGAAGCAGTGCTGCATCCAGCCTCCACAAAGCACTCTGAAGCAGTGCTGCATCCAGCCTCCACAAAGCACTCTGAAGCAGTGCTGCATCCAGCCTCCACAAATTGCTGCTTGAGTGATGGAGGATGGATATGGAGGTGGTGGCCTGGTAACAACATTAACTTGCCTTGTTCGATTCCCATAGGAAGAAGATCTGGCAGAATTGGCCTCCCAGCAGTACTACGTGGACTATGGGTCAGAGATGGTGCTGGAAAGGCTGCTAAACCTAATTCCATCCTACATCCCAGACAGAGAGATCACAGCTTCAAAAACAGTGGAAAAATGGGCTCAGCTCATTATAGCTGCACATAAAAAGGTGGGGACAGTAGATCAGCTGGCCAGGACCAAGGCTTCAGTAGCTTCATGTGCCTTTTAAACATATGTCAGACATCATAGCTCAGCTCTTAGCCTGGTCCAAAGCTAGATCAAAGAGAAAGGGCAAGTTTTGTACCAACCATATTCAGCTTTACCACTGATTTTGAGTCAAGATCTGGCAGAAGAAGACAACCTGCATAGATTGACTATGAAAAACAAAATGCCACCTCTGGGGTCTCGTTACTGTTACACAGGATTGGGGTGTTATTGGTTGTGTTAGAGTGGAGCTCCACATCTCCAGGCAATGTCAGGACCTTATTGTGCGAGGCGTTGTATAAAACCTCCCTGACTTCCTTTAGAACATTTGTAAGACCCTCCCACAGTGACACCTTCCATAACTCATTACCCATAACTCATGACCAGTCATAAGGTTTGGTCATCCAGGCATAAGAATTCACATTCACTTAACAGCAGGAGCCAGCTTCAGATGAACATGGAAACGTCTCCGTGTGTGTTAGGAGTCTCACCTCCCATTACTGTCAGTGGAAGCAATGCAATTCAGCTGGACCTTGCAGGTCCTCCATGAGCCTGTCAACTACATACAGAAGTGTCAGGTGTCTGAGGATGTCCTAAACAAAGCTAGGCACCTGTACTTAAGGACTGTTGAGTGTCCGTTTCCAGCTGAAGGATTGTCAAGACAAAAGGTAGACATCTACCTTAGGGAAACCCAAAGTTAGCTGAGAAGAATCCCACCCATACTGGTCACTCTAGATGCTTGTCTAGCCTACTCAAAGTCAAATTATTCCCTAAACTGGGAACCAAAGGCCAGGACTTTGTCCAAATTATCTCTTGTTCCTGTAGGACTTTGGCCCTTAGATGCATTTAGACCTCGATCAATGTTAGTTCAAGATCTTCAGGTGACAGGACTTGGTTTTGTTTGCACTTTTCTTGGATATCACTGGGTTTATGCTTCATGTTGTTTGTGGTTTGCTTTGTCTGTAGGGAATTTATACTCAGAAGAGGGCAGACCCAAAAAAAGTCAAGGAAGAGGTAGTGGATTTTGCACGTTTCAAGTGGCCTTTGCTGTTCTCTCGGTTTTACGAAGCCTTCAAATTCTCAGGTGAGTCAGTAGAGGTCATCCCCAAGATGCTCCAAAGCAAAAGGAGGGAGAGATAGGGACTCCAGAGACAAGAATACTTAATGGACCGCCTAGCTGGTCTTTTCTGGATATGTTATTTTGTGGTGCATCCTGATTAGCAATGGCTCAAGCTATGAGTCTGCCACTATTTCTCTTCCTAAAACTACCACTGAGTTTTTTGATCATTGCATCCTCCCTTGAAACACACTTTTCCTGTGTTAAAGACTCTTCATGAACCGATGGCGTGTCTTGTCTTCACTCCAGGGCCAAGCCTGCCCAAAAATGATGTGATTGTAGCCGTCAACTGGACAGGAGTGTACTTTGTGGATGAACAGGAGCAGGTTCTCTTAGAGCTCTCTTTCCCAGAGATCACGGCTGTGTCAAGCAGCAGGTAAGGAGGAGCAGACTCATCTCACCAGAAACTAGTCTTTGCCCAGGCTTTGCCTCTTTGATGCCTTTAAGTTCCTTGTTTGTGTCTCCTATAACAATGCATCCCAGGGGGGGAAAGCTGCAAGGGCAGAGTTTTACCTTGGCCACCATTAAAGGTGATGAATACACCTTCACCTCCAACAATGCAGAGGATATCCGAGACCTGGTAGTGACCTTCCTTGAAGGACTAAGGAAAAGGTCCAAGTATGTGGTCACTCTCCAAGACAACCCAAACCCTGGTAAGTAAATGGCCCAGCCCAAAGGTAAACATATAGATAGATAATTACTCCCAAGGGATTTGGAAATTAAAAAATCAAACTTATGGTTGTTTTTCCTGCAGTGGGAGAAGAATCTGGGTTCCTCAGCTTCCTCAAAGGAGATCTCATTGTTCTGGACCAGGACACAGGAGAACATGTGATGAACTCAGGGTGGGCTAACGGGTTCAATGAACGGACCAAGCAGAGAGGGGATTTCCCAACCGATGCGGTCTACGTCTTGCCTACAGTCACCATGCCTCCACTGGAGATCGTGGTAAGCTCTCCTACAGAATGGTGCAACTTGGTGCAAAGCTTGAAGAGGTCAAAGCCTTCCTAGATAGCTTAGCTCTGACCAGTGTCTCCCTGATAAGGTGGAAACCAAAGTGTCTGAAAGAGGTATCAAATTGTTCAAGGCTGAAGTGATCTCAGCCTTTCTTCTGTTGTTGTTACTTTGAACATCACTGGCTTGTGACTTGGAATATCCATGGATTGTGCTAAATCCCTTCAGCTGACCTGATTCCTTGAAGGTGCATTTGGGGTTGGAGGGAGCATCTACATTCATGTGTGGAGCTGTAGGACTCAAAGCATGTTATCTTCATTAGGAAATGGTTCACACTATGGAAACATCTGTTATTCCTTGCATTCGTGACTGTGAATTGTACAGAGAGATGACAGTTGCACAGTTCTTACTAATAACTGGAATTCATGGGTTATTCTTATTCACTCACTGTTCTTCTTCTCCCATTGTACCTGCTTCCTCTCTCTAAATACACCAGATACATATTATATCAAATGCACCAGGTGACAGAGACCTTTTCATCCCACAGGCACTGGTCACGATGACCCCTGACCAACGACAAGATGTTATCAGAACCTCTCAGCTGGCGATCTCAGACAGTGAAGAGAGGGTAAAGCCATACACCTTGGAGGAATTCTCCTATGATTATTTTAGGTAATTTTTTTTTAAACCATCCTCAAAAATGATAGGAGTAGGAATCCATCTCCAGGTAGCTTGGGAATCAGGAAATTTTTGGCCATTGAGAAGGACTCTGAATATCCCCTTGTGTGACTTTGTACAACTGCAGCCTCTAGTTTAGGTCATGGCATTTGAGCTGTAGGTTTTCCGCAGACAAGGTTTCATGAACCATTTCTCCAGGCTGGAGAAGTTTAGTGTTATATGGGAGGCTGTGCTTAGTGGGCTGAAATTCCTTTCGTCTGGTCCCATACACAAGCTCAAAACAAACAGGCAGCAGCTGAATTAGGTGTGGGCATTTTCGCCTCCATGCCAAAGATCTAAATGTGTACCACTGCTGAATGCAGCTGACCAGACTGATCCCAAAACTCCCACTCCTATTTAGATGGGCTGGCAGTCCAAAAAGGCAGACCAGATCCTCTGGGTTGTCTTCACCTTGGAAGGCTTGTTCTGCTAGGCAATATTTTTTCAGTGTTGCTGTACACTGTTGCTGTTCGGTGACTGTACAATGTCATCATCCTTCTTCCTGTTGTTAGAAGTTTTTTGGGGTGGAGAAGGTTGTTTTGGTGTCCGTACTTGTATAGGGTCATTAAGGGACTTTTCAGAGCCCTAGGAAAGTACAACTGTTTATCTTTGGGGAAAACTGGAGCTGAATACTTGCTAAACTGTGAGGTCCCATTTGACATAAGAGTTCATTAGCCAGGTGCTGTGAGGAAACTTCCCAGGTGAAGCACTGGCTGCAGTCTGTCCCTTTTATCCCTGTAACCTCTCCGCCTTTCCTCTTGCTTTTCCTTTTCCACCAGGCCACCTCCCAAGCACACCCTCAGCAGGGTCATGATCACCAAGAGCCGTGGGAAGGACAAGCTGTGGTGTTACACCAGGGAGCCTATCAAGCAGCCATTGCTGAAGAAGATCCTGGGCAGTGAGGAGCTGTCCCAGGAAGCCTGCATGGCCTTCATTGATATCCTTCCATTGCCTGGAGGATACGTGGTCAACAGGTCTGACAGGCAAAGGGCTAAGCAGGCTGTTTAGGGCTACAAGCAAAGCTCATGGAAAGGTCTGTGGTTCCTTTTAAGGTCTTGGAGAAGGGTCTGATCCTGAAGTCTGTACTCATGCATCCTTGAGGTCTGAGTACACATAATAGATGGGGGCTGGGGGATAATTATTGAGTTCTCCTGGTCCACACCGTGGTTAACTCACTGGCTGTGTTCTGGCTTGCTTCAGCTGTGTCTCCCCAAAATGCATCTGCTGTGGAAGGCTATAGACCTAATCAGTGTGGATGTAAACAAGTCCATGTGGCCTTGAGAACAAGTTTTGATGCCTGAGCACCCCTTCCTTGGCAGGATATACACAGCATGGAAGCAGTAAGCTGAGTGCAGGTGGAAATCAAATCTCTTTAAGTAGCCTTCACTTTTTGGTGAGGCTGTGCTCAACGATACAAACTTCATTTGAACAGGTCTGGTGGTATAAAATTGTTACTGATTAATAATTACACTATTGGTGCTACTACAGTTTTCCTCTTATTAGCAAATAACAGGAGGAAGAATGAGAAGAACTGGCAAGAAAGACATTTGCAATTTTATCCTTTTCCTCTTGCTGTGTCACATGTTAATTCAGAAAACCGTGGCCCGTTCTCAAGCAGAAGAGTTGAAATGGGGCTTGATGGTGAAAGTCATCATTTGGTTTATGTCACTGCAGCTTCACTGGTGTCTGGCACTAGCTGAAAATCTGGTCTTTTACAGTGGTACCTGTACGTGTGACCAGGTAACACATGGCTTTCTTAGGTCTAGATATCCTGACCCCAAAACAATTATTTCAACCTGGGAGGGTGCATGCTAAAGGGAGAGAGCTTGCTGGACATCTCCTAAAGTAATTTAAAGCCTTTGCCATACACTGGCTCCCCTCCACGAAATTGCAGCCACTTCTATAATCATATCTAAGATGTCTTTAATCACATCATCAACAGAAGGGCCTCCCCAAACACCCCTGGTACCTGATCCTTGACTCCTCCTACCAGTTCTGAAGTATATGGGTGACTACCCATCCAAAAGGACCCGCTCGGTTAACGAGCTGACAGACCAAATATTTGAAGGTGCCTTGAAAGCTGAACCCCTGAAGGATGAAATCTACTGCCAGACCCTCAAGCAGCTCACGGACAACCACATCAAGTAAGACTTGTTCGTCCCACTTGGTCCAAATGCACTTGCCTGTGCTGGGCAAAGCAGATCTGAGGCGTCCATGCCATGAGTGATTATTTTCCTCCCGTGTCTCTCCTTCCATAGGTACAGTGAAGAGAAAGGCTGGGAGCTGCTGTGGTTGTGTACAGGCCTTTTCCCTCCAAGTAATATCCTCCTGCCCCATGTCCAGAGGTTCCTGCAGTCCCGGAAACATCACCCCTTGGCAGCAGACTGCATCCAGAGACTCCAGAAAGCCCTGAGGTACAGCACCAAAAGACATCCTAGTCCTGACTGTGGCACAGGATCCAAATATGCGTGAGAAAACATGAGTAGGAGATGTTTTGGTGGCTGGGGGGACAGTGATAGTTCACAGCCTCTCTCTGTGGTTGACCAACATGAATGGAAGGTACATTGGGTGGAAGATGTTACTGATAAACTGGGCGGGGTGGGGAAATAGAAATTAATTGCCAGCTTAGTCCAGGTCCAATGAAGTGGACTTTGTGCAGGTCCACTTAAGTCAACTACAGCCCAAGCAAAGACACATTCCCCATTACAGTTTTTATTTCTTCTTTTTAGGAGGAGAAAGCCCTAATTAAGAAAGTAGCTGAAGTTACTAAAAAAAAGAATAGGTGTTACGATGGAAGATTTAAACAGAGGATTCTGGGTTTGATTTTGTGGCACTTGCCACCTCCTGTTTTGCAGGAATGGATCCAGGAAGTACCCACCCCATCTGGTAGAAGTGGAAGCCATTCAACACAAAACCACCCAAATTTTCCACAAGGTGTACTTCCCTGATGACACTGATGAGGTAAACGGGGGAGAAGGAAATTATTTTCTGCCAGGATGGCTGTCAGTTTTCTTACTCAAATCCAAGAGTCTAATACAGGTTCTGATTCAGCAAAGCACAGCCTTTCCAGAAGACTCTGGACCAAAGCAGTGTAAGGAAAACCCACCCCTATCTACCCTGACCAGCTCAGGAGTTTGACTCAGGAGCTGAGTAATTCCCTTCTTCAAGACATGAGTTATTTGCTGACATCCACTGGAGGCTTTATAGTATGACTCCAGCAAGAGGGAATTTGGGGGGATTCATCTCCATCCAGTCTCTGAGTGGTTCACAAGCATTGGCCATCCATTATTTACATCCCAGACAGACAGGTATTGTCCACCCAGCTGTACCCAGCAGGGTACCATGATGAGTCTCCCTAGGGACTGGGCAGGGAGCTGGCTCTGGCAGTGCTGGCAAGTAGGCAAAGCAAATTATTCCTTCTGACCTGAGATGACAGAACTTCTGATACCTGCACTCAGGAGCCTCTCATTAAGCATCTCACATGCTAATAAGGCAGCTAGTAAAGCTGATGCCAGAGCAGATATGCATGCCCTTGCAGATACTGCTGTCTCATGCTGCTGGTTAGTCTTTCTGTGAGGCTGGCATCTCTCCCTCCCCTCATGCCCCTGGGCACAACTAAACTCCTGCATGCCCAAGTGGGTTTATTTGTAATGCAGCTGCACACCCATGGAAGGAAAAGGATGATTCCTCTCCAGTAACTCTGTGTGCCTTTGTTGATCTCTAATGGAGAGCTGAGAGAATTTGGTCTCTCTCTGCCCTCCCTAAACAAGTAGCTTTGAGAGCTAGCTGTAGATCAGAAGAATCTCTTGCCTTGCCTGGATAAGCCAGATAGAGCATCATGAAGCAGTGGTGCACCAATCACATGGCTGAGCTTTTGCAGATGTTCTTTCCCATGCTCAGAGCTACAATGTCACTGATTTCCTTAGCGGTGGGTACCTAAATCCCCTTGTGCATCTGAGCCTAGAGTTCCTCAGGGAGCATAAAATGTAAACCTTGAGGTAGCAGTGGTGAGGATCATCTTCTCTTTGTAGGCATTTGAGGTGGAATCCAGCACAAAAGCCAAGGACTTCTGCCAGAACATCTCCAACAGGCTGCTCCTAAAGTCCTCTGAGGGCTTCAGCCTCTTCGTCAAGATCTCTGACAAGGTGAGTGACCCACTCAGAGGCTGGGGTAGCCCCGAGACCCTCAGAGTGACCCACCTGCCCATGGGTCATTGGTGTAGCCAGATGCATTTCTCTACAAGCAGTGTGGTGTTTCTAAGTCAGCCACAACCTCCTGCAGGTGAGATTTGCAGTCCCACAGCCCTGGTTTACAGCAACCATCCCAAAGGGCTTAAAAAAAAAGCCAGGCAAAGCTCTTTGAGCCTGTTGCTGGGGTCAGGTTTCTAAGAAAGGACTAAGTAAGAAAAACGTGCAGCTTAGAGCTGCCTCAGGCAACTGGGAGAAATCTGTGGAGATAGTCATGGTGAGGGGAAGGAAATTAATTGCTCTGGTGGAACAGGGTGCTCCAGTAAGGAGTAATGGGTGAAATCAGAGCCAGAGCCTGCAGCAAAGTGCTGGAGGTGGCTTTCTCACTTCAGCAGTTTGTAACACATCAGTGAGACCAGGACAAAGCAGTGAGTAACAACTACAGAAGATGGGGCAATGGCCAACCCTGCCCGTGGCCTCTTGCCACTGACTCAGCCTTTATAACCATGTGCTGTGTCCCCCAGGTCATCAGTGTGCCTGAGGGAGATTTCTTCTTTGACTTTGTGAGACACCTGACCGACTGGATAAAGAAAGCAAGACCTGCAAAAGATGGTAACGGTGACCTTTTGCCACTGTGGGTCACAGAAAGTCCTCCTAGAGCCCTCAGCCCTTTAAAACCAGATTGACTATGTAGTCTGCCCCATCTGCTGGGCAACACTACTGTGGGTGAGCTGTCTGCACCAGCCCTGAGGACACCACCTGGGAGATCATCTGTCCAGGAGCAGCAAGATCTCTGCTCCAGGGTTAGACCTGGCCCCTACGAGGAGCTTCTGCTGGTGGGCAGCTCTCCAGGGCCTGCCTGTGGGAATGCTCCAGTGGTGGGATTCATCTCACCTCACTGTCCACATATACAGTGGATCTGGCTGCAGCTCTGCTGAATGTAAGAGTGACTGCAAGACACAGGTGCCTCCAGGGTGCAACTCCCCTGTCCTGCATTGGGCGTGGAATCATAGAATTTGTTTTGTTGGAAGAGAGCTTTAAGATTGTGGAGTCCAACCATTCCCCCAGCACTGCCAGGTCCCCACTGACCCGTGTCCTTCAGCATCACATCTCCACGGCTTGGAAACCCCTCCAGGGATGGGGACTCCACCACTGCCCTGGGCAGCATGTTCTAATCCTTGACAATCCTTTCTGAAATATTCCCTAATGTCAAATCTAAACGTCCCCTGGCACACCTTGATGTCCACTCCCTGCTTCCCTTGCACAGGTATAGTGCCTTCCCTCACCTACCAAGTGTTCTTCATGAAAAAGCTGTGGACCAACACAACACCTGGAAAGGACTCGATGGCAGACTCAATCTTCCACTACTACCAGGTACTCCAGGGGCCTGAAACAGCGGTGGAGTCTTGGGAGAAATTAGGAATGGGTTACAAAGAATTTGTCCATCTTCAGATGGGCAAAGTCTTGCATTAAAAGGAAGAACTCTTGCATTAAATAGAGCATTGCAAAGAACTCTGAGTTGTATGGCAAGGAGCAGCCTTCATGCTCTTTAGGGTAACCAGGACAGCTGGAATTTGGGCCAGATGCTCTTAGGTGGGCAGTAAGAAAATGGAGAGAGCATGTCCTGAATTCAGCAGCATCCTGAGGGTTTTCAGGCATCTCCATTCATAGAGATGAGCTGTGATGGTCCCAGCAGTCAGGTGAGAAATTGCAGTTTTCCTGCTTTTGTTTCTTCTGGGATGGAAGAGACACCTTCATGTCCCAAAGCTCTCTCTCACACACACATAGACTCCCTGTGCTCTTGTCTGGACAAAGTTGTTATCCCAACAGGACTGATCCCTTAACGCTTGACTTAGTCACTCGACTCCTTTTCAGACACGTCTGGTAATGAGGGAATAGATTTTTTTAAACTGAAAAAAAAAAAAAAGCAGAAAACCCCTTCAGTTCCAAGTGGCCATTCCTAGGGGTGGGTTCCAGGGGTGAGGAAGGGTGAACAAGACTGTAGGTTCACACACCTGGCAGCTAACATGGGGACCAACCTGTTAACATGAGGACCAACCATGTAACAGAGAGGACCTTTAAACATCTAGTGTGGTCTCAGCTGGGCAGCTGCCTCTCCACCACACTCAACACAACTGCTATGAGTGTTACTGGGGCACAGCCTCTTAACCAGGGCTTGGATACCTCCACAAATTAATTCCATTTAACTTCTGAGGGTGAAAGTCCACGGTCATTCCCTCTATCTCTGAATTGGTCTTTCCTCCATGCAGGAGCTACCAAAGTACCTGCGTGGCTACCACAAGTGCACACGGGAAGAGGTCCTGCAGCTGGCAGCTCTCATCTACCGAGTGAAGTTTGAGGATGACAAGTCCTACTTCCCCAGCATCCCCAAGCTCCTGAAGGAGCTGGTGCCTCAGGACCTCGTCCGGCAGCTCTCTCCAGATGACTGGAAAAGGGTAAAACAGCAGCTTGAGTCCTATGCCTGGCCTGGCTGGGGGAAGCCCAGTCTCTCAGGTGACTTGTCTGATGTTCAGCGTTGATGAGAGGCTGCCAGAATGAGTGACCCATTGTTCCTCTTGAGCCATAGCAGAGCTGCAGCCTCCCCAGCATCACCAAGAGGAGGATTTGTGCATGTGTGTTCATACAGACATGCCTTGCAGTGGGTTTTCTGTGTGCTGCACGTGGCTGTGGCTGCAGTGGTGGAGGCAATGTCAGATGGACTCATGCTGGGAGATGGTCTCACATAAAGGTCTGTTGTTTAAAGCAGACTACTGAGTAGAGGGATAATTCTTCCTGCTTTACAGGGGGGGAGCTGTGGCACAGATACAGACTCACCCAGAGACACAAAATAGCAGATGTCTCACTGCCCAGAAGTAGTCTTATAAGTCCTTTTTATTTCCTGGAGCTTGAACACAGCCACGTGTCCAGCCAGCATGCTATCAGCTTCTCTGGGTTCAGGGTCCCTTGGTCTCCCCTGCTCCATAAATTGGAGGGCCAAAACTTATAATCCCTTTAATGGAGTCACCAGCACAGCTGATCTAAAGAAAGAAGGACCTGCTTTGGTTCCAGGCCCTGCTCCAGTGACCAGTCAACACTTTTGTGAACTTTTCATTGGAGCAGAGACTAGAACCAACCATCTTTGTGGGACTGATGCTCTTTCCCGGCAAACATCCATGGTGCTAGGAAGTGCAGACCCTCCAGCTCTGTTCTCTGTTGCAGTCCATCGTGGCATACTACAATAAACACGCGGGCAAAACAAGAGAAGAAGCCAAGCTTGCCTTCCTAAAGATTATCTTCAAGTGGCCTACGTTTGGATCAGCATTCTTTGAAGTGAAGGTACCTGCCTTGCCTGGGGGTTCTCTGGTAGCTTTGAGCCAAGGTCAGGAGCCCCATATCACATAGGGGTTCCAGGTATGCAGGATTGTGCCAGTTTTTGGGCCAGGCTGGGACAACCTTGATGAGGCAGGGGAAGAGTGTGAGACTCTCCATCAGTAAAGGGACGATACATTTATTTATTTAATAAATGCAATATATTTATTGCTGCCCTGCTTCTTTACACAGACAGAGGCATTGTAGAGCTCCAGCATATCTCAGTCATTGGTCTGCACTCATAGGTGTGCTGCTGAAGAGCCAGGAGCCATTTTCTGTTTTGCCAAGCCAAAGGGGAATGTAGTTTTGCAATGGACGTGTCTGTGCCCACCACGAACCAAATCCAGACCACCCACCATGGCACCAGACTCTCCTCAAAGACAGTTGAGGCCAGTAGCCATGAAGTCCATCCAAGTACTCTAGGCACCTTATTGCAGCTCCCTCTTCTCAATGGCCACACAGTGAGCCTGAGCTGGAAACAAGTTGCTGAAATTACTCATCAACTTCTTGAACTTTGGCACCCTATTTTCTGTTATGTCCATCTTAGATGGCATAAGGGATATGGATAGATACTGTGATTTTTCCACCAACAGTGTTAATAGCCAAGAAATCTGTGGCAGGGCTATGAGCTGAGCATCCACCCCCTTTGCTCTATGATCCCATCAATTGAAGAAATCAAAGGTCCTCCAATTGGGGGACTAGGAGAAGGCTTTACCAGCAGTAATAAAACTGAATGTAATCATCAGAAGGGTGCAGAGCAGTGTAACCTTGGACTTGGAGTTCCACAGCAGCAGGTATGAGGAGAAGCAGAGCACCAGAGACTGGAAGGGAAAAGGAGACATCTGGGGTTTGCCAGCCTGTCCTAGCTCTTCCTTCCCAGTGCTAAGATGGCTTCACATTTGGAAGACCACCAAAAGGAGCAAGGAACTTAATGCTGTCAGCAATTCACCCACTCGTTATCAGACATTTAGGAGATCTGCACATAACTAGACAGCCCTGACTATTGCTGATAGCTTCATGAACTCTATGTTTATCTTTAGAGGATAAACTGGATAGCAGTTAATGGGCCACCGAATGCTGTCAGGAGAAGGAGAGAGGAAGTAGGAAGGGGTCTGATTGTGCATTGCACATCACCTAACCAGTTCATCTTATTTCCAACAGCAAACTACAGAGCCAAATTATCCAGAAATCCTTCTAATTGCCATCAATAAGCATGGAGTCAGCCTCATTGATCCCAAAACCAAGGTAAGCAGAACTGAGGTATTCACCAGGTGCTCCTGAGCACGCTTCTCAACCCTTCACAGAGGTCATCCCAGAGGACATGATGTTCAAAACTTCGGGAGTTCTCATTAAGCCAAGTGAGAAAGGCTGGGGAGCCAGACAATTTTCTAGAGGCAGAACTTCACTGTTGCACAGAGCCAGCCCCTTTTTCAACAGGAGGTGGATTGGGAACATCATCTGTAACTGGAGGACACACACACTCCTGCCTTAATCCTTTCACAGGCATTAGGACAGGAGCTGGAGTAAATGAGCTCCAGCTTGTTGCTTCCACCAGCTGCATGGTCGTTCTAGTATGGCAGTCCTCCACAAGCACTGGAGGCTCCAGAGCCTTGCATCTCACTGCCATTCCCATGGGGCCCTGGTACAGTCTCCTCACAGTAGGTGTACTTGGTCTGCTTTGATGGAAAGTGACCAAGGACATCAGAGGTCCCCACAGCCCTTCGTGAAAGCTGAGCCTGTTGAGTGTCAGTCTTGTGTTCCCTCCAGGATATTCTCATCACTCATCCCTTCACCAAGATCTCCAACTGGAGCAGTGGCAACACATATTTCCATATAACCATTGGCAACCTGGTGAGAGGAAGCAAGCTGCTCTGTGAGACCTCCCTGGTAAGGACATTACAGGTTGCTGGGTACAGTGAGACCAAATCCTGAGTTTGGAAGGCAAAATCAAATGCTTCCAGCAAACTCTTGGGGATTCTCTGGGCTGAAAAACAGTCTCTTAGAAGGGCCTCTGATGTGTTTTGTTTTGGTTTTTTTTTTTTGTGGATTTCCCATGGCTCTGCTTAGCCGATGAGGGCTCTCACCTGGTCCATCACCCAACTTAGAAACAAACCTGAGGTGCTTAGGACATTGTCATCTCAGGAGCATGGGGCACAACTCCCTGTCACTGGGCTGAAAAAGACATTAAAGCCGATGTGGGCTCAGGAGTTATTCTTGAGTCCTTGTACTAAGGTCCTTTGCCCAGCTTGTCCCTAGTAACAGTCACAGCAACAAACCTCCTCCTAGATTATCTTAAACCCAAAGCATGAAGGACGAAAGTTCCTGATGGATTGTTATTGATCTGAGGCATTCTGTATTTTGTTGGCCATTTGAAAATCCAAGTTCCACCCAAATCTCCCCATGTCTTTAGCCTTGACAGCATCCCGGGATGGTGAGTTCTTCCATCTGCAAATTATGTTTGGACTGTGTTCCTTGTGGCACTGTTGTTACAAGGTGTCATTTCCACCAAGGAGAATGGCGGAACAGGTCAACATGCACCTGAAAACGTGAAAGTCAACAACTAGGTAGCCAGAGTGTTCAGGAGACATGAGCCAGAGACTGTAAACTGCGCTCTAAGGGCAGGTAACATCTTCCTTCTCTTCCTCAGGGGTACAAGATGGATGATCTTCTGACCTCCTACATCAGCCAGATGCTTACAGCCATGAGCAAACAGAGGAGTGCGAAGGGCAGCAAGTGAACTGCAAGAAGCCACTGGCAGGTGATCATGGGGCTAATTCACCAGCTGAGGGCTGTGGGATACCCATGCAGCTGGGGGAGAACCTTTGCCTCCCAGATGTGGAAGATGAGCCGAACACCATCAGGGAGTTCGCTGGACTCTGACCTTGAGGGCTCAAACCCCACCTCCCCTTCCAGCGAAGACGACTATCTCTGATCTCCCATTCTCCTCCCCCACCTTGCACCCGGACTTCATCTTGCACCCCAAAGATTCCCAGAGGACACCACTGCTCTCGGACAGTAACTGAGCAAAGACACTCCAGCAGGAGGTTCACCTGAACCCAATGGTTGGCGTCGCAAAGGCTCTTGGAAGAGGATTTGTGTGTGTGTGTTTGTGTGTGTGTGTGGCTTGGTTTGGTTTGTTTTGGTTTTTTTTTTCTTCTGAAGAGAGAGCTATCAAGATGCTAACAGCTTTTTGGTGAGGTTATGGGCATTTCAGGTTTGAAGAAGAATAACAGAGCCCTGACTCATGCTGGAAAGATGTCCAATGAACACTGCAGGGCTTGGTTTTTGACATTACAAAAGAACGTGTTGTGTTCTTTAAGAAGGACAGAAAGCAAAAAAACAGGCTGGGAGGAGCACGTTTTAGCTACAAATCAGAATAAACAGACTCCTGATCGACCAGGCTGGAGTACTGAAGTGCTGTCCGTGCAATGCTGGAAATATTTAAAGAACAAATTTTAAAGTTTTGTTTCTTCTTCTATTTATTTTTTAAAATATTAAAAAAAAAAAAAAGTACCAAAAAAAACCCCCAACTAATCCTGCATTTCGTGCCGGTCTCTGGATGCTGACTTGGGGCTGAGGGTGACCTGCAGGACAATCCCTCACCCAGGGATTCCCCCAGAGCTGTGGTTGCCAGAGGCTGACTAAGGCACATCTTTCCCAACTTCTGGGCTCGGCTGGAAGTGGAGCTTGGAAGACAAATTATCTCTTTTTGCCCCCTGTGCCCAGACAACTTAACCCTGGGAGGGCCTTTACTGCAAGCTTCAGTATGGATGTAGGGGGTTTGAAGTCCCCGTGCTTGGAAAACTGAGGCCAAGGTTGTGCTGAGCTGTTCAAACGTGGACTTGGCCATCAGGGTTGGAAACAGCTAATGACTTTGTTGTGCTCTTGCGTGTGTTGCTGTATAAACTGGCTCTTGATGAGGCCCAGCTTGACCTGAACCACTCACAGCAAGGGCAGGCCCTTGATTTCAGTGGGCTTTTCTCCATCTTTGGTTGGCTGTACTGATCTGCTGGCTGATTGTCCCATCTTCCACCCAATGCCACATAGTGCGGACCAAGTTGCTTTGGGGTCTGCCAGCAGAGAGGAGGCTGAAGCCATGTTGTGTTTAGGCAAATGCAGGGGAAGGAGCCCTGGGTGCCTTTCCAAACTCCAGGCTTCAAAGGAGCACATGCTTGGGTGTGGGACATCAAGAGGGGTGACAATTGTCCACTAAGATCTGGTGCTGAGGTCACTAACACTGGGTGGATCTTCGTAGATGTGGGAGAATTCCCTTAGTCCCGGGCGTTGGGCTGGCTGGCTGCTTCATAAAAGCCCATATTGTAGGTTGCCATGTGTTGTTCTGTTGAGCTGAGCTCAGCCCTCCCATGCCATGGAGTGCCTGCTGGACCTCACATCTGGGCTGTGACATCCAACTGGGATGCAACAGTGACTTTGGACCCCAGTTGTTGCTCCACCACAATGAACCAGATGCTGCACAGAGATGTCCATCAGATGGACAGGGCTGCTAGAAGATCCCCTTCCTCCACAAGCCCCTACCCAAGGCACTCTGGAGATGGGAGCATGGTTACAACAGCCAAGGCTATGTTTGGAGCCAAGCTGCCTTCTCACCACCGACCTCTGACGCTTCTCTCCCCTCTCTAGCTGCCAGGATCCAGCTGTCCCAGGGATCCCACCTCCCCTTAGGCCTGTGCCCATCATCCCCACCAGCACCACTGCTTGTTGTGAGTCTCCAGCCATCCCTGCCTCCCACGGCACACTCAGTAGACAGCAAAGTTTTCCAGTGCTATCCTGGGCCAGCTTTCCCCTGCCACCAACCTCATCCCCAGCAACGTTGGCCTCCCACCTACCCCACTGTTTTGGGGGTACAGGGGCTCTGTGTGCGTGTGCCTGTGTGTCGTAGGTGTTAGCATCTCCTGGCCTCTTTGTATTCACACCAATGTAACATGGAAAACGTATGTTCAAGCAAATTACTCTAATTAAAAAGCTTCAAATGGCTTGTGGGAGGCTGTTCTGCACTGCTTGGGTGTGGTGGTGGCTCCACGGGGAATGGGGAGGCTCAGGGCTCCCAGGTCCTTGTTGGGAACAAGACTTCTCCTTGCAGAATGGGACTCCTGGTGAGAGTATCCAGCGGTGGGGAGCAAATCATCAGTGTTCCCCGACTGGAAATGAAGTAGAATCTTTTCTTTCTGGGTAAAAACCACTGGAGCCTGAGGGGTCTCCATTGCTCATCCTCCAAGACAAGGACTGGTTCTTCCACAAAGGCCAGTTTTGAGCTGGATCACTGGATGTGAGAGGTACTGGGGGAAAAGTTTGTGTGGGGGAGTCAAAATACCAGCCATGTGCTTAACAGTGTTGCCAGAACCTGCTGGCGCTGAAGCACCAAAAACAGTAGCTGAGATGCGACAGGGAGCAAGGAATTGCAGGAGACCACAGGTCTAATTGTCCAGGCAGAGCCTGGACAAGGCTGCTGAGGATGAGGAAGGTGAGTAAGGGGGTACCTTGCATGATGGGCAAGCAGCAGCTAGAGCCATGGATGAAGGTGCATTTGAGGTGGCTTTTCCTAATACACATTAAAAGCAGCAGTGGAGGGACCACAGCCAAGTACACAGCTGAACAGGCTGAGGACCCCATGGTGTACATCACCACTCAACCCACACGCTCTCCACTTCCTATTTTTGCTCCTCACATACCTCCACATGAGTGGTACCCACCAAAAAAATATGAACCAGCTATGGATGCAGGGCATAGGGAGGAGGTTTAACACCGTCAGTAGTATCCTCTCCCCATGCTTCAAGGGTCTGGAGCTGCTCTGCACCAATCTATCAGCCATTTAGCCCTTTTCCAAAGAGGCTACTGCCTCTTTGCATTTCTCGCCTCCAAAATACCCTGAAATTGCAACTTGGAAAGGTCTGAGTGCTTCCCAGCAGAGCTAACTCTGAAACCTAATGCTTCCCTGTCACAATCCACTTGTGATAGCTTTATTCAGGAAAAAAAAAATAAACCAAAGTGTATGAGAAGATGTCTATAGACTGATTCAGGTAAAGACCTTTTTCCTTTCCTTCCCCTTTCCCAGGCTGCCAAAATAGGAACAAAACAGGACAGGACAGCTAAAATGTATTTAAAACAGCACTCCCAATTTACAAAAAAAAAATGTGTTCTTATTATCTGTTCAAGTAGAAATTTATGGCTTAAACCTGGGAGGTACCCACATCACCCTTGCAGAGCACGGCAGAGACCTCCCTCCCCTCTGTGTCCCAGCAGCCACTGGGAGAAATGAAAAGCAGGATAAATCCCAGGGTGCAGCACAGGTAGAGAGCCCTTCCCACGGGAAAAGTGAACAGGACACTTGGTGGAACCGAGTCACATGCAGCTCAATACTGGAGAAAAGTGGTGTGCTTCTGATCATGGTCCTAGCAGCTGCATGACCAAGGCACCAAAAAGTCCTTCAGCACCCATGGGAAGATGTGTCCTCACCCACAGCCTTTGGGAGATGACTGTCCTGCTGGGTCTATGGCAGGGCAAGAGTAGGGAACAGGAAAAACCTAAGCTGCCCCTGCCTGCATTGTAGAAAGGTGTGGACCCTAGTGACCCAGCCAGCAGCACCTGACCATCATCATGGGACTAGTGTGCTCTTGGGGATGGAGGACACCTATGAAGGGAGAGAGAGAATATGTGGAGAAGAAGCTGGTCTGACAGGAGAAATATGGGCAGCTGAGAATGAGGAGGATTGGAGAATGTTTGGATGTTTGCAGCACGTGTAAAACACAGCTGTGGAAACCAAGGGCTTACACACAGCAGGAGGTATTACAGCGTGATTGTCCTGTGGGACACCAACAGTCTTGGAGGTCAGTGGTGGCTCCTATGTGGTGGCTCCATCTCACCATGGTGCACAGCTTCTTGATAGTTGCAGCTCCATCTGTGCACACCTAAACCCAGGGATCTCTGACAGGCACAGGATTGTGAGAAAAACCATGGGAGAGAGGAAACTCAGTGTTCAACTTTGGCAGGGTCACGGAGGCAAGTGGATCCTCACCAGGAGGATCTGAGCCTCCCCAGCTGGCCTTCTTGTCAGGTTGGTGTTTGTTTGCACTGCAGGAAGGGGCAGCAGGGGAGGGTCTGCTCTGTCTCTGGTCCTCATCAAGATGGCAGGTCCATGTCCCCTCCCTGCCCATGTCAGGCCGTGATGGCAGGTATGTCACTGAGCTCTGGAAACGGGAACACACAGTGAGTTACTGAAACATCTCCAGTTGTTTTACCAGCTGTTGTGAGCCAACAGAACCCAGCTGAAAATGCATGCACCCAGGCTGGGTCATTTTGTCTGGATGATAGCACCACGGGCGCAGAAACCTGGTGCATGAGAGGGTCCCCAGTCAATCCCACCCTGCCCTGCAGACCCAAGAGTGCTCAGCACCTCTGGACTCTCTTTTCACAGCACTGTAGAGTCGTGCATGTCGGGGGAGATGTCTGGAGGGCTCTGCCCCAACCTCTGCTTGAAGCAGGGCCAATTAGAGCTGCTCAGGGCTTTGAAGATCTCTGAGGGTGGATATTCCCCACCTGTCTGGTCCCCTATTCCAGTATCTGACCACCCCCATGGTGAAGGTTTCTTTTTTTTCTCTTCACGTCTAGTAAAAATTTCCAAGGTTGCAGCTCGCGCTGTTGTCACTGCACATCCAAGAAACAGCTGGCTCCATCTTCTCTCCACCCTCCCATCAGATGGCTGCAGATAGCTATAAGACA